TCATATTGATGAACTGAAAACTCACTCCACAAGTTTATTATTTTAATTTATCGATCATTAATATTGTTGTTATTATTAAAAACTGTATTTTGCTGATCTAGAAGAATAGGAAAAGGAGATCAAGCTGTTGTTAACATTAGGACAAGCAAATTGAAACGCATGAAACTGATGATGTTGTATTAAATTATTTGTAGCTTGGATGGAATGAATGCATGGGCTTTATTTGATTTTGAGTTATGAGAGTTGAATAAATCACTTTGGGATCTTCACTATTTGCAAATAATCGATTTGATTGTGACATGCGATATTGAATGTTGATTTGCCACTAGTGCTAGATAAGAAGAATATGTATTTACAAAACACTGTCTCTACAAACCCCTGTAATTGAAATAAATTTTAATCCATATAAAAACTTGTGTAAAAACCGATTCTTGAACCCCATTTGATCAGGGCTTTTGCATTATATTTAGCCATCAGCCAATGAAAATATTAGATGTTAAACTAATGCTTGAGTATATAATCCTTCTCATTTTTTAACAGAACAGATCAGAGGGACTTGTTGGACCTATAAAATAAAAGTCACACAATCATAGTATTATCAGTTATTATTATTATTGTATCAACCAGGAAATTTTATATGATCGGCAGGGTTAGGATAACATTATGTTGTTATTATTACGTTTCTACACGATGACCTAAATGTGCTCGTCTATGAACTATGTATGCTTCCGGATCGAAGGAATAACACCACATAATATTTGAATTTGTAGTGTAAAAAATTGATCCAAGATAATAATAAACTACTTGCTGAATAAAATGTAGATCATTTAAAATTTTAACAAGTCGTTGAACCTTTCATTAAAGACCAATACAAAACATCTTAATAAAAAATGGTTAGAACGTTCCAAAATACAATTTGCTATTAATCTTTACTATTTGTTTAAAAGCTAGTTTTTGAGTAATTGCCAAACGACTAAAATCATTAAAAAATCACGAAAATTAATTAGAAAATGAAATCAACACAAGCCATCGCTCAAACTATCGTCAGCTCAGTCACCATTTCAAAAGGTGCCACTGAAAAACCTGAAAATGCTACAAACTATTGCTCTATCATGTAAAGAAAATATTGAAGCGATTCAAAAAAAAAAAAAAAAAAACGAAAAATTC